ATTTTTTGGCGCATCTTATTAGATGGATGTCTAACCTTCACTGATGTATTTAGGAACAGGTCTGGACCTGAATATCTGGAGTACCAATTAGTGCACTAAGATTGGTAAATTTCATCTCAAAGACAACAATTTTGACAATCTACGCGTTACAATGAATGAATGAGGCTTCCCGCTCCCAGCCGGTGTGGGCTTATACGACACCATTTGATAATACGGTACATTAACAAAAGAGAATCAGTCCTGCAGAGATAACAAAATCAACCATCACGATGGTCAAAGTTGGGCCCAAATAGTCCAAACTTTTTGTCGAACCGAATCATGTTCGATATGACGTCATTCGAACCGAATCATGTTCTATATTACGTCAATCGAATGGAGCGTTCGTTCGATCCGGGGTCACCCGCGGTCATTTACAGTAAACTCGCGGCTTCAAGCCCGTTTTTACACGGGTCCCGCCTAACAGTAAAAAATCTACCTTTTTACAAATATAAACAGATTTCGGGACAGTATATCTATGCCCTGTTTTATAGTTGATATGTAACATGTAACGAAACTACTGCCGTCATCGTGTGTGACCTTGACGATCGTGATTGTTGTTTACTGGGATATAAGTTACCCCCTGTACTTACTCACACGGCCTGACATGTGTGCAAACATGGTATTTAAACCACAACCAAAACAAATTCAATTTACCTCAAAAAGGTTTTAGATTTTAGGCAAGACAAAAATCTCGATCTGTGTCGGACGGATTTTTTAAAGATGGCGGCATTCTGAAATTATCGGTCTTGGAAGTTGAAAAAACGCATTTTCTTGCGAATTTTTCGACCGTAGCAACACTTTAACTTTGAAATAAAGAAAACTGTCCGACTCAAATCTTAATTTCATTGTACTGTTCTCTAAAATGCAAAAATGTGGTATTTTCTGGGAGATTTGGGGTCGGTTTAAATCAGTTGTTTGGTTATTGACGTCGATTGTTCTAGAATAAGCATTCGACGCGTTGAGAGTGACTTTACACACATTAAGCATTATAATCAAAACATCAACATTTTAGGTATATGCAGTGCAGATTTTTTCATATTTGGACAAGAGAGTCCCCGTGAAACATTTTATTATTGTTTATCAAAGATTTACCGTTAAGACTGGCTCCACGGAAGCCGCGCGTGGAACCCCGGTAACCTGATACCCCTCCGTAGAATTGGAAACTTCACCCTAGAAATTGACCGCCGTGCATAAAGTGAACATAATTTAGGGCTTCAAGGAAACACCATGTGCCGTGGGAAGATAGTAACCTTATATGGGCTAGTCACCACCAACTCTCCACGTGGTCCCATAGCGACAGCCCGCGGGCGTTCAATGTCCGCGATGGTGCGGACAAACTTGCCCTGGCTTGTGAACATGTCTACCCGTTTGTATTTAGAATTCGCCACGATGATGCGACCAGAGGTGTCCAGGCAAATACCCACGGGAGAGTTCAGTTGCCCCTCCCCCTTTCCACAGGTGCCAAATTCAAGTATCTTTACTCCGAAGGGATTGTACTTCTGGATGGTTTTAGACCCATCCGACAGCAGGACATTTCCCTCCTTGTCCGATGTGACTCCCGAGATCTGGTATTCCGTAGGCACTCTTGAACTCCAAAGGCGAGAGCCGTTTGGATCAAACACCATAATTGTATTTCTGTCTCCCACGATAATTTTATTGTTGCGCACGTCCATCGCGATGACGGGATAGATGCTCTTGAGGCTTACGTCAAACTTTTTTATGGGCTGTCCGTTCTTACTGTACTGTACGACATAATCTTTATTGAAGGTAAAGAACCATCTATTTCTGCTCCCCAGTACCCACAGGTAGCCAGGCGCCACATCCAAAGCAACACCACGAGCGTACATTGTCTTACTTTCACCCGGCAGTACCGTTGGAAAGAAGCGGAGTAAGGTCCCATCTATGCTGAAGACCTGGACTCGTTTGTTTATATCATCAGTCACAAATATCTCATTGTCAGCAGACACGGCAACTCCGGAGATAATTAGGAATTTTCCAGGTTCTGTTCCGTACTCGCCAAACGTGATCTTCTCTTGCTTTACGTCACAACCTTTTGCCATGAGTGATAAAAAAGTATTTTTCAAACTAAAATATAAACCATTTACATTTACACGCGCCAAGCACGCTCACACATTCACACAAACACACACACACACATACACACACACACACACACACACACATGGGCCATGATGCGTATAGCTTCTTTCACTCACCAATAGAAATAATCTTGTTCATTGTCCAATCCAATATCCTAGCATTGCCTCATTAGCCTGGGTACCATCCCCAGTAGTATATTCGCAAACTCTATAACCAGTTATAGAGTTTGCGAATATACTACTGGGGATGGTACCCAGGCTATTGCCTCATGACACAGAGGGACCAAGTCTAAGGCATTGTCTAATGAGAGAAGCAAAGTCTTTAAAACATTGTCTAATGACACAGAGGGACCAAGTTTAAGACATTGTCTAATGACACAGAGGGACCAAGTTTAAGACATTGTCTAATGACACAGAGGGACCAAGTTTAAGACATTGTCTAATGACACAGAGTTAGAGTTCTTTATCTAGTTTATGTACAGATTTGTTTATTTGCATTTATGATCTGTTATGAGTTCACTCTGTTCTGCTTAATTGTATATAGCCTAACTTTATTTGTGTTCACATTTTGTTTGGATTCTGTACCTCTGTTTCTCTGTTGTTTATGTATTATTTATTCTCAAACGGTGTCGTATAAGCCCACACGGGCTGGGCGTGGTATGCGCACGACACGAAAATAAAGTTTCATTCATTCATTCATTCATTCATTCATTCATTCATTCATTCAGAGGGACCAAGTTTAAGGCATTGTCTAATGACACAGAGGGAGCAAGTTTAAGACATTGTCTAATGACACAGAGGGACCAAGTTTAAGACATTGTCTAATGACACAGAGGGACCAAGTTTAAGACATTGTCTAATGACACAGAGGGACCAAGTTTAAGACATAGTATCTTAAATATTTGTGTTAGACTCACCTTTGTGAAGTTGGGTGTTGGAGACTGCCGGGAGCTTGGGGATAGATCCGTTAGCAGCAGCAGCAGAAGCTTTAGTAGTAGTAATAGTAGTAGTAGCAGGAGTAGTAGTAGCAGCAGCAATAGCAGCAGCAGCAGTAGTAGCCGGAGTAGTAGTAGCAGCAGCAGTAGTAGTAGTAGTAGTAGTAGTAGCAGCAGCAGTCGCTGTCTGCTGTTAATAGAGGATTATATTATCAATGCAGGCTATCGCAATCGGTTTATGGAGATCATGATAAATTATCTGAACCCTGTCTGCCGGATTTGATAGCTGCAGGCCGATGTCAACGTATCATGCACCAAATTTTATTGGAATAAGTACAATAAGGAATAATTGTCTATTTCAAAAGTATCCTGGAATTGGTACCTCACCGACAAAGCAACAATACGAAAAGGTTAAGCCTTGTGTGTATAAAGCATCTGTTTGTTGTTTTTTGGCGACGCCTCAGGGGGGCCTAATGGTACAGTGTTGTGTGCAGTTTGCAAGAATTCTAGGAATTGCGCAGGCAGTTTTTCCACAGGTATGGAATGTCCACAGGCATGTCTGGAATTTTGCTGACACACATCTATGACGACAGTCCTACACAGTCCAAATTCCTGGAAACCCTTGGGAAAGCCTTGCTGGGGGATGACCTACATTCCTGGGCTCGTTCACTATACACTCAGGGGAGGGGAGGGGTTATTTACTGAACTGCGCTATACCTGTATAGACTTAACAGGTTACAAGGTGTACAAAATGTCTACTGCCAGTGATGCCAATCACCCGTATAAAGTATACGGGTAATGTAAAGGGATGGTTATCCCAGGAAATGATGAAAACATCGACAAGGCTATGATAAGACAGAAGCGTACCTGTG